AAGAATGAGAGTGATACACATAATGATGGTATACATAATGATTGATGGATTAGACGTCTTAGACCGCCCAGAATCAAAACCCCACCATCAATGGCCTGTGTGGAAGCCAATGGCACTGGGATCTCCAGAGCCACTGGAAAGTCTTCTGAGAAGGCTGATGTTTTTGGTTATGGCGTGATGCTTCTTGAACTGTTAACTGGACAGATGGCTTTCAATCGTGCCCGACTTGTCAATGCTGATGATGTCATGTTAACTGATTGGGTACGTTTTCTATTTTCTGGCAACATTTACATGAGGTGATTTTATGTAACTAAACATCCTTTGCCAAATGTCGTGTCAGTTATTGGTCTCCTTAAATGGTTTTTCATGAACCCGAAAGGTCATTCAGTAATCAGCACAGCAATGAGATATTCAATATTTGGATCAAAGACCAGAAATGGGAAACACTATTGGACGCTGATTTGGGCGATGAGCATAATGAAGAGGAGGCAGAGCAACTATTCCAAGTGGCCTTGCTATGCACACAACACTCGGCTATGAGAAGACCAAACAGGTCTAGTCTGAGGTGGCCGGTAAGGATGCTCGAAGGTATGGTTTAGCTGAAAAATGGGATCAGTGGCAGAAAGAGGAGATGTATCCGTTAGATAATGAAACACTTCTCTCTTACGCTAGTTGGATTGTGGACTCCAGTTCATTGATCCTCCCCCGAAGAACTGTTTACTTTGCTTGGAGAGAGAGAAAAGTTAGGAGGAAAGAAATGAGAGGAGAAAAATTAGAGAAAGAAAAATTGAAGAAAAGATGTTATCATCTCTTGTTTGGATAGAGGAGAGAAAATAAGGAGGAAAAGAAATGAGCAAATATCTAAATGACAAAAATATCTTTATCATATTTAAAATTAAATCAAATTAAATATTACAATAGGAAAATTGTACTAACATTAGCGTCATCAGATAATTTAAAATCAACTTATTTGTTTTATATATATTTTTTCATATCATTATATTTTAAAAGCAAATTATTTAATAAAATTATTTTTTTAAGATCACAATAAAAAGTAATAATGTTTAAATAATATAGAAAACAAATATGAAGATGAAAAGAGATGCGCGGTATTCATGAAAATTTTGTTTTTCTTCCCAAATCTCTTTATATATGAAGAGAAAATTTGGAGAGAAAATGAGGCATATGACCCAACTTATTTTCTTCCCCATTTTTTCTTCCTCCCATATTTTCTCTCTTATTTAAGCAAGGGAAAACTCATTTCTTCACATGTTTTCTTTCTGGTTTTTTTCTTCTCTCTAATTTTTTTCTCATCCAACCGGGGGGGGTCAAGTCCTAGAATCGAGATGATCTTCTCAACCTTAACGCTACTCAGCATCTACAAAGTCCTTTCATAACTGTAGAACAACGACTTTCTTCTTTTTTGGGTTATATATGCTGTCTAGATAGAGTGCCCCACTTACCATGTTGTGATTGTTGCAAGAAATGTATAATTGGGAGTCTGGTCCACATATGTTATCATCGCTTGTGTAGCACCTCTTGTCCTAATTATAAAATCTCATTTGTAGACTATAAATTAGATCTTATAAATAAGACTAGAAGTAGTGTTACATGTATGAAAAATTAATGTCTAGAAAGTAAATGAAAGTTTGTTTTCACTTTCAAAATTCAGGTATACAAACATAGATAAATGTTGATTATATTTATGGGAATTTTATTAAAATCTGCTTTGTTAGATTTAAAGGTTTTGATGATAACAAAATAAGCTTTAAGTTTCTCTGCATGATTGTTAAGTTAATCGATCAAGTGTTTGATCACTGGTTAATCGAACATGTGTCAAATAATTGATAGTTCATTTTGAACCAACTGCTGTTAAGTTTGATCGATCAAGTATTAGATAACTCACTGTGATAGATAACCTACTAGATAAATGTGTTGCCCGATCAAATGATCAATCATTGATAACATTGGTTGATTATAAGGTGTTTCAGGAGTTTATCGATCACTAGATCGATAACTGGTTAATCGATAAGCTGTTAGGAAAAAAGTTGTAAACTTCCTATTTTATAATAGAAGGATTATCAATCATCTAATCGATCAAGTTATAATCGATAATGACTCAGATAATTAAGCAAGTCTCCTTGACTCAGGTACTGTGTTAAATAGTTTATGGATTATTCATCATGTCATCGATAAGCTCTTTATTGATAATTTGTTCGAACATTGGTTGTCAAATCACTTCTGCTTAATCGATAATTTGTTCTGAAAAATTCTCCTCTGTTATATTGCAACTCTAGTTCTTCACAGACATTGATCGATCAAATAATCGATCAGTATGTTATTGATCAAATGATCGATCATCATCATATTTTTCTGTATTATTTTCATATAACTTATTCAAACAAAGCATTAATTTGTCATTTTCTAAATCAAGCTTTTTGCAGTCTTTAATCGATTAATTATTAATCAATCAGTTAATCGATCGTCAACTCACCTTTGCACATAACTGTCAAACATTCTTTGGACTGTTTTTTGATCAGTTGTTCAATCAATCTTTTATCGATAAATTGTTCGATCATTTCACTTTAAGAATAGTGTTCACAAAAGCTTGGTTTTATCGATAAGCTGTTTGATCAAACAATTATCAATCATCTATTCGATCAATGCAACATTTGTTTTTCTTAAACAGTTCTTTACAATGATTTTCTTAAAAATATTTTCATTTTATCTTCTAGCTTTTCTCAGCCTTCCCCAATCGTATAAATCTCTATTGAAAAGATACGAAGGCATACAAACTTTAAAAGAAACAATCTTTGCACAAAGATTAGAAGTACTTCATTTGTTTGTATTTCACCATTTATCAATCACTTGTTCTATCATTGAATGATCAATAACGAATTCGATAAAGGAACATTTATGTTAAGTCTATTTCTGTTATATTTAATCGATGATATGATTAATCAAAGGATTATCGATCAAGACATTGATCAAGTGAGTCCTGTTTACTTTTTAAGTATCTGATGATTGATTCCATGTTTTCCAACTGATGTATCAATGTCAAGAATCATCACTCCTTTTGTTACTCATTTCTATTTTCTTGAAGAAGAAAACTTACTTGTGCCAAGAGACTTATGCAGATTACGAAGCACAACGATTAATTTATAGCCCTTAACCTACTGTGTCAAAAGTATTAATGACGAACTACCGTTGTAACTGTCGAACACACGCAAGCGATCTTCCAATGGCTAGAAGCTCTTTAGTCTAATGGATAACTAAAATATTCCAACTATAAAAAGCACAAAGAGTATTGAATGAGAGAATTGAATACACGAGCTACTGTCTGCTGAAATCTACTATTGCATTCAATATTCTGTTTTACCGAATTTCAGTGTTTATCATTTATATACTTTGTGAGAGAGTCTGTTATATCTTTACTCAAATTCTGAGAGGAATTTAAGAGTGTGGACTCTTGAGAGGCTTGTAACCTTACGGGTAGTAAGAGGGAGTGATTGAGAAATTCAATTATTGTACTGAAGCACCAAAAGCCCGTTCAATTTTGGAGATATAGTAGAAATCTCAAAGGTACTCTGAGAACTGGACGTAGGTCAAAGTGGTTAAGATCGAATAAGTATAAACTCTGTGTCTTCATTCTTCGGTGAAACTTTCCAAACTCATCTCCACTGTTTTATCTGTTCAGTTATTTTATTTAGTTAAATTTTTATATATCACCCAATTCACTCCTCTCTTGGGTGAAGCTGCCACTAACATACTTTTGTCAGGATGACCCTGAAATGGGTTTATCAATTTGTGGACACTTGGGCAATTCCAATGGACAACTACAGGAAAAAATATATTATATTCCACTAACTACCACTCCCGTCCTAAACGTAAATCACTTATAGGAGGACTTGGGAGGAAATTTTAATCCTAAATATAAGTTATTTATAGTATATTTAATATTTATTTTTAATTTTAATTTTATTTAATTTTTATTGAAAAAGAGAGAGCAAATAAAAAGATGTTAAAATGATTTGTAAATATAGAGAGAGAAAACTTGATGAGAATAAAATTTAAAAATTTTCTCAATTTAATATATTTTTTTAATATGCAAAAATGTACTATAAATAACTTATATTAATGAAGACGGAGTAGTAATTATTAAAAAAAAAAAAAAAAAAGAAGAAGGCACACACGACAGACAAAGCAAATTAGCCACCGTTAAGACAGATAGGATCACAGGATACGATTTTATAGAAATTGAAATGTTGAAAAATTGTCCGCGGGGAAGAAAAAGGTGAGCCCCAGAAAAAGAAAATCACTTAATGAAACCAACATTAACGGCTATAGCCCATCAATTTAAAGTATAAATATCAAATAATTAACTTACACAACTTTAAAAAATTAATTAAAGATAAAATATATAAAAAAATAAAATTGATTTTCTTAAAATATTTTTATTTATAGAAGGGGTAAGTGGGAGATAAAATGAATAAAAAAATAAGTCGAAAGAGATATATATTAATTAGTGATAAAAAAAACGTTAAATAATCAGACAAATTTAAATAGTAGTTTATTAAAAAAAACAGTTAACCTCATTGAAAGTTTTAATGCCTATATTTTGATCTGGAAGGACTATCCATCAAATTGAAATTAAAGCATTAAGATTCAGGTTACTATTATGAGGCTTATAACAGCCCAAGCGACAGCAACAGCCATGTGCGCCCTCGACGCTAAAGTCATCTCTTCTGCCCCACCTCTCCTCTCTCCCCCTCTCAAAATCAATCAATCAAACACGGGGATGCTTTGATTATCCAGTCTTCGGCAAGTCTTCCTCAAAAGGACAAGAAGCTTTAAGTAATTGTTACGAAAATAAATCAACACAGAATAAGGGGGCAACGCCAAATTGCCATTTGCCGTCACCTGTTACCATATGACAAAAAGCATATTTCAATGCAATTCAAGAGCACCCCCAAAATCTACGTCCTTGTTGGATACCTGAATTTGAAAGGGAAAACACACTTTCATTTACTATTTTCTAGGCACTAATTGTTCTTTCATTTATTTCTTACACATTAATTGTCCATAAATATAATACAGGTACAACGTCAACGCAAGTGATGGTCACCTGTGTACTAGACTCCCAATTACACATTCATGGCAACAATCACAACATGATCAGTGGGGGGATTTTATCTGGCCAGCAGGAAGAGAATCAATTAACATATATTAAGGTTGAGAAGATCATCTGGGACCTGACAGTTCGTCTGGGGGGATATCTGAATCTGAGTCTAGAATTGGCGGGCTAGAGAAGTTCACTTGGGAGTAGCAAGGAAGGGTTCCGTCAACTAATGGACCCGTCCCGTCTTTCTGCCATTCACCCCATTTTTCATCAGGCCCATCATCTTCAAGCATCTTTAGCACCTCAGACATCGTTGGTCTTTCCATAACCGAGTTTTGTGCGCATAGTAAGGCCACTTTGATTAAATGCTCTGCCTCCTCTTCATTATATTCATAGCCCAAATCAGCATCCATTAGTGTTTCCAATTTCTTGTCTTTGAAAAGCCCTATCACCTGGATCCAAATATTGAATAGCGCATTGTTATACTCATTGCTGAATAACCTTTTGGGATCAAAAGGAGAGCAACTGACACAACATTTTAGCAAAAGATGTTTGATTATTATATAAAATTACCTCATATAAATGTTGCGAGAAAATAGAAAATACATACCCAATCAATTAACATGACATCATCATCATCGCCAAGTCGTGCACGAACTAAAGCCATCTGTCCAGTTAATAGTTCAAGAAGCATCACACCATAACTGAAAACATCAGACTTTTCCGAAGACATTCCGGTGGAGAGGTATTCTGGTGCAATGTGCCCAACTGAACCAAGCACAGCTGTGTCTTCGTAGTCCATGGGTTTTGCAAAGCCAAAGTCCCCAAGAACTGCTTCAAACTCCTCATCCAATAGTATATTGGCAGCTTTGACATCACGGTGAATGATCTTTGGATCACAATGATTATGCAAATAAGCAAGCCCCCTTGCGACTCCCAGTGCGATTCGCTTCCGTACAGGCCAATCAAGCGGGGGCCGTGACTTCGGGCGGGCTAAGACATTCGAAGACAATTGAGGGCAAACCCAATATACATAAACGCGTCTCAATCTAAATGAAACTACAATTTAGATATTTAACAGTAAGATGTTTTTGTTTCTTTTGGGGATATTTATCTCTTTATATATTATGTTTGCATCCAAGTCCCAAATAACTTCTAATACTCTCAGAATTCTTGCTCATATTTGACTAACAATAAATCAAGATAAACAACGAATGAGTTTGAAATTGAAGTTAAAGGATACCTCGTAAACACAATGCCACACTACCATTGGCCATGAAAGGATATACAAGCAACCATTCAGTTGGGGTCTTGCAATAACCACGCAGCCGCAGCAAGTTACGATGGACTGCCAGGCTGATGATGTGTACTTCTGTTTGAAATTGCACCTCTCCAAACCGAGCGCCTTCCTCTTTAAGTCTTTTCACTGCAACTAGAGACCCATTAGCCAATCGTCCTTTGTAAACCTCACCAGATCCACCTTTGCCCACAATCTTTTTGTTACTAAAGTTGTCCGTTGCATCTTGCAGCTCACGCAGGGAAAACTTTCTAAGCTGACTAAGGTGAATTTTAGGATGCTCCTCGGCTGCAATTAGTAAAAGGGCCAAATTGTTGATAAATCAATTATGGACGTCATGTATAAATCATCAGTGTCGTTAATATGTATACCATCTTTTCCATTATTCTTCAACTTGCCAGGAACATCAAAGAGATAATCTTGTGTTGTCCTCTTCCGGCGATAACCAAGTGTCCTTGCGAACACTGTAGACATTAATCCAGCAATAGCTCCGGTAGCACTATTGCCCATAATATATATGTCTTCAAGGTTCTCCACATTAACACGTTTCCTTATCTTACACTCCGCTGGCCTTATTTATTTATAGGAGGGTGGGACAAGAAATCTCCTAGTTTTATTTATAAGGTATAGAGAGAAATTTTACATATGAATATATAATTTTACCCTTCAATTACTATTGTGTTGACTTTGTTCTTATGAAGTGTAACATATACTCCCTTTGTCTTTTTTTATAAACAACAACTACCATTCTCCTCTTATCTCTAAATATAAGCAACATTTGCAAATTGTCTTAAATTGTTGTAGCAAATTTTCTATTTTACCCCATTAATAATTTATTTTAATATTCAATATATTTATTATCTCATTTCCTAAACCATCATCATCTCTTTCCATCCACATTCTCTCTCTTTCATAAATAAGGATATTTTGTAGAAAAGACTTTCAATTTCTACCTATTTATTGTTTTTAAATAACTTTTTAATTTATGTAATGGAGTACTCCGCTGTTGCTTATAAAAAAAGACGGATGGAGTATTAAATAAGAATAAAATTAAAAAACTGTTAAATTTTAACTGAAAGTTAATAAAGTTTAATATTTTTTTAATTCATATGATACGTGTTGAAAGTGACTTGTATAAATAGCATCATAGGAGTATTTTACAGTTTCAAGATTAATCCCCAAATCAAATCAATCCAATATAAAGATGATTCCTTTTTTTTTTTTGGGCCTGATTGTGATGATTTCCACTATCAGATAAAGAAATCCATGAAATATTCAACTATATTGCCCTGTCAATTGGAGCCTTAATTTCGGTCAACTTCTTTCCCTTCCCAAAAAAATAGTGTGATATTGATGAACTTTTAGACCTTGAACTTACATGCCCAAGGGTGGAGTTTTAATCATTACATAATTTTAAGGTATGTGGCATGTGAGTTTCAAAGGCCGGCCCTTTACACCCTAACCCTTATTTACAGCTTTACCAAATATTCAAGCAATGTTAAAAGTCATGGACAAATGCTTTTTTTGTAAGGAGGTGTTTAGAAAGTGTTGGAAGCACTTTAAAAAATTATTTTTAAGTAGAGTAAGTTGAAATAAAACTCCTCTCACATTTATTTTGAATTATATAAAATTAGTTTTAAAATCATGATTTGATTTTTATCCAAATACCCCTTAACTTTAGAAATATAATTCTATTGTGATAGGCATCCTACACGGAGTGCGGAAAATTTGACATAATTTTGTTCATCGTCCTCATCCAATATCATGACTTTTTTTTTTATGGATTCCAATTTTATTTATATTTCTTGTTAAAAATCATGATTTTTTTTTTTCAATTTCTAGCTTGACTTGCAACTCTTATGAGCGTATTTAGAGGGCTGAAAACTTTTCAACAAAATATCACCATCACGTGGAAAATCAGAGACATTTGTTTCACATTTTGGCGCCTTTTCCAAGTGATAATTGAACCTTTTGAATATTTTGTCTATCTGATTTAATTTCTAACTTACTCTATTTTGTAGGTCTTGACGTCTCTTTCTTGAGGGTCGAGTATTCTACACACGACTTGGAAAGCTTGGCATATTATTTATATTCTCTTCGTTGTCCAGTATCATAAATTCTTGTGCCCCCAAGTTTTACGCAATATTATGGTCCTCTTGTAACTTACAATTATTGAGGGTCACATCGTGCACGCCGCAAGTTTTCCACCAAAGTATACGTAGGTGATATAATGTGTGTGTCTATATATATAATGAACCAAAATAGTGACAAGACGGTGAAAATGTATATTCTATTTATTGATCTGTTGTGTACACTGTATATGCAATATATAGACTAAGCTAACCAGTACAATGAAAACATGTATAAAGGAAAAGAAGAATCTGGAATAGTAACACTATTCCATATGATACGTGTTGAAAGTGACTTGTATAAATAGCATCATAGGAGTATTTTACAGTTTCAAGATTAATCCCCAAATCAAATCAATCCAATATAAAGATGATTCCTTTTTTTTTTTTGGGCCTGATTGTGATGATTTCCACTATCAGATAAAGAAATCCATGAAATATTCAACTATATTGCCCTGTCAATTGGAGCCTTAATTTCGGTCAACTTCTTTCCCTTCCCAAAAAAAATAGTGTGATATTGATGAACTTTTAGACCTTGAACTTACATGCCCAAGGGTGGAGTTTTAATCATTACATAATTTTAAGGTATGTGGCATGTGAGTTTCAAAGGCCGGCCCTTTACACCCTAACCCTTATTTACAGCTTTACCAAATATTCAAGCAATGTTAAAAGTCATGGACAAATGCTTTTTTTGTAAGGAGGTGTTTAGAAAGTGTTGGAAGCACTTTAAAAAATTATTTTTAAGTAGAGTAAGTTGAAATAAAACTCCTCTCACATTTATTTTGAATTATATAAAATTAGTTTTAAAATCATGATTTGATTTTTATCCAAACACCCCTTAACTTTAGAAATATAATTCTATTGTGATAGGCATCCTACACGGAGTGCGGAAAATTTGACATAATTTTGTTCATCGTCCTCATCCAATATCATGACTTTTTTTTTTATGGATTCCAATTTTATTTATATTTCTTGTTAAAAATCATGATTTTTTTTCAATTTCTAGCTTGACTTGCAACTCTTATGAGCGTATTTAGGGGGCTGAAAACTTTTCAACCAAATATCACCATCACGTGGAAAATCAGAGACATTTGTTTCACATTTTGGCGCCTTTTCCAAGTGATAATTGAACCTTTTGAATATTTTGTCTATCTGATTTAATTTCTAACTTACTCTATTTTGTAGGTCTTGACGTCTCTTTCTTGAGGGTCGAGTATTCTACACACGACTTGGAAAGCTTGGCATATTATTTATATTCTCTTCGTTGTCCGGTATCATAAATTCTTGTGCCCCCAAGTTTTACGCAATATTATGGTCCTCTTGTAACTTACAATTATTGAGGGTCACATCGTGCACGCCGCAAGTTTTCCACCAAAGTATACGTAGGTGATATAATGTGTGTGTCTATATATATAATGAACCAAAATAGTGACAAGACGGTGAAAATGTATATTCTATTTATTGATCTGTTGTGTACACTGTATATGCAATATATAGACTAAGCTAACCAGTACAATGAAGACATGTATAAAGGAAAAGAAGAATATGGAATAGTAACACTGGGATGGCTTGATTGGGCTTGTCATTGTAATTGGGCTTCAACATTCCCCTGCGAGGTGATCTGGGCTGGTAGCACAGTGAGACTCGAACGTAGACAAGCGAACATTGACGAAGGAAAAGGTTTTGTTCAGATATCAGCAATTTGGTCTTTAGAGGAGACATGAAGAATATGAATTAAGCCAACAGCAAGCCTCCCACGGACAAAATGATAATCTAGAGAGATATTGGAAAGTTAGGTTAGCTACAAGATATGGGCACCAAGATTATCACAATAGAGAAAAGGGGCCTCTAGAAGACAAATATGAAGTTCATGGAGAAGATTTTGAAGCCAAATGAGTTCACTGGTGGCGGCGGCAATTGATTTATATTCTGCTTCAGTGCTGGAGCGAGCAACAGTAGGCTGCTTTTTGGAGCTCCAAGTAATCAAGTTAGGACCAAAGTAAATAGCAAATACACCAGTGGATCTAGAATCATCAGGATTTCCTCCCCATTCAGCATCAAAGAAGGTAGAGAGTGTGTGGGAAGTGGATGGTTTAATGTGGAGAGCGTAATGAGAAGTACCGTTAAGGTACTTGAGGATTCGTTTAATAGCAATCCAGTGATGCTCTTCGGGATTGTGCATAAATTGGCAAACGCGATTAATAGCAAAGGTGATATCTAGTGGGGTGAAGTTTAGATATTGTAAGCTTCCAACAATGCTACGATAAAATTGAGGATCAGGAAAATCAACGCCAAACAGGGAAGTCATGTGAGTACCAGAAGACACGGGTGTTGAGATAGGTCGGGCATTAGACATTTTGGCCTTAAGAAGCAAAACAAGGATGTATTCCTTTTAAGATAGAAGTAGGCCTGAATGAGAAGGTAAAACTTCAATCCCTAAGTAGTGTAGCCAGCCAAGATCTTTAACAGGGAAGGAGTGACTGAGTGCTTGAATGGCAAGGGGAGAGAGAAAACTTTTTAGTAATGATAAAATTGAAAAATTTTGTTAATTTAATACATTTCTTAATATGCGAGAATATGTTATAAGTGACTCATATTAAGGATCAGAGTAGTACACATAATAATGGTATGCATAATGATTGATGGATTATATGTCTTAGGCTGCCCGGAATCAAAACCCCACCTTCAATGGCCTGTGCAGAAGTGAATGGCACTGGGATCTCTAGAGCCATCCACTACACACAAAAAAAGACTTTAGGCGACGACTTTCGGTGGCGACAAAAAAATTCGCCGCTGAAACTAAGACTTTCAGCGGCGATTTTTTTTGTCGCCGTTGAAAGTGAACTTTTAGCGGTGACTTTTTTTGTCGCCGCTGAAAATGAATTTTTAGCTGCGACTTTTTTAGTCACCGCTAAAAGTATACCTTTGAGAATCATTGGGTTCACTTTCAGTGACGACTATTAGTGTCGCCGTTGAAGGTCTGACTTTCAGCGGCAACTTTATAATGTTGCCGTTGAAAGTGTAATATAATAATATATATTTTATTTTACAATATTAATAAACAAATTCAATCTAGCTCAGTGGCAAAAAGATTAAACGCGAAAGGAGGTGGTTACGAGTTTGAACCTTGAAGAAGACACATTTAAAGTGAAAATATTTAGACAATGACATGGCGGGGAGGAGTGATGTGGCAATGACGTGGAGGTGGCTAGTGATGATGTGGTAGCCGGTGACGATGACGTGGCGGCTGGCGATGATGACGTGGTGTTGGTAAAGCCAATTCTTCTTAGGCATTACTTTCAACGGCGACAAAAAAGTCGCCGCTGAACATCCCTTTTCTCGCGGTTGAAAAATTTTCAGTCACGGCTGCTGCAGCAATGACTTTTTAGCGACGACTTTCAGTAGTGACTTTTTATTGCCGTTGAAAGTCAATTTTTTTGTAGTTATCGGAAAGTCTTCGGAGAAGACTGATGTTTTTGGTTATGGCGTGATGCATCTTGAGCTGTTAACTGGATTGATGGCTTTCATTCGTGCCCGACTTGTCAATGCTGATGATGTCATGTTAACTGATTTGGTACGTTTTCTATTTTCTGGTAACATTTATATGAGGTGATCTTATGTAACATTTATATTTTCTTAAAACATTCTTATTTATGGAAGGGGTAAATGAGAGAGGAAATTAATGGAAAAAAATATATAAGAGAGACATGTATTAATTAGAGGTAAAATAATGCATTAAGTGATCAGAAAAATTCAATTGGTGGTTTATTAAAAAAAAAAAATCAAGCTCCTTCAAAGTTTACTGCTTATATTTTGACCTGGATGGATTATCAATCAAATTGAAATTAAAGCATTAAGATTCAGGTTACTATTATGAGTCTTATAACAACCCAGACGAGAGCAACAACCATGTGCGGCCTGGACGCTAAAGTCATCTCTTCTGCCCCCCGTCTCCTCTCTCTCTCAAAATCAATCAACCAACGGGGATTCTTTGATCATCCAGTCTCCGGGAAGTCTTCCTCAAAAGATTAAAGAAAACCTTAAGGTAATTATTGCGAAAATAAATCAACGCAAAGGATGAGCGGGGCAATGCTAATACGACAAAAGCACATTTCAACGAAATTCAAGAGCACCCCAGAAAGGTCATCTAGGACCTGACAGTTCTTCTGGGAGGATATCTGAATCTGAGTCTAGAATTGGCGAACGAGAGAAGGTCACTTGGGAGTAGCAAAGAAGGGTTCCATTACCTAATGGACACGTCTCGTCTTTCTGCCATTTATCCCATTTTTCCTCAAGCCCATCACCTTCAAGCATCCTTAGCACCTCAGACATCGTTGGTCTTCCCATAAACGAGTTTTGAGTGCATAGCAAGGCCACTTTGACTAAATGCTCTGCCTCCTCTTCATTATATTCATCGCCCAACTCAGCATCCATTAGTGTTACCAATTTCTTGTCTTTCGCTAGCCCTATCTGCTGGATCCAAATATTGAATAGCGCATTGTTATACTCATTGCTGAATAACCTTTTGGGATCAAAAGGAGAGTAACTGACAACAATATTTTAGCAAAAGATGTTTGATTATTATATAAAATTACCTCATATAAATGTTACGAGAAAATAGAAAGCATAAATACCCAATCAATTAACATGACATCATCATCATTGCCAAGTCGTGCACGAACTAAAGCCATCTGTCCAGTCATTAGTTCAAGAAGCATCACACCGTAACCAAAGACATCAGACTTCTCCGAAGACATTCCAGTGGAGAGGTATTCTGGTGCATTGTGCCCAATTGAACCAAGCACAGCTGTGCCTTTGCAGTCCATGGGTTTTGCAAAGCCAAAGTCACCAATAACTGCTTCAAAATCCTCATCCAATAATATGTTGGCAGCTTTCACATCATGGTGAATTATGTTTGGATCACAATGATTATGAAAATAAGCAAGGCCCCTAGCAACTCCCAGTACAATTTGCTTCCGTACTGTTAAGAGTATTACAAGATCAGTGCACAAGTCTGAAGCCCAACAGTGTACAAGTCTGAAGCCCAATAGACAAAGCAAGCCCAATAGCTAAAGTCCAGTGTCTGTTTTTACTTTTACAGCTGTTAGTGTTCTAGTATATTCCTTATTCTTTGTACAAGTGACCACGTGTATACATCTCCTGTAATCTAGGGTTTCTTACCCTACTTATAAAATGAATAGTAATCTCCTTTGGTCTGTGCGCCATTATTATACAGATTCTTTCCTATTACAATTTTATCTTGGCATCAGAGCCATTAGGTTAGCTACCAATAACGAATCCCAATGCTTCCAGTGAGTCACCTGTGAATGAGTCCAGCCGAGCTGATGAGAGCTCTGTGGTCACTACTTCCTTGCTGGCTAAGTTGACTGAAAAAAACAGTCTGTTGTCCCAATCCGTGTCTGTCAAGCTAGACAGGCTCAACTACTCACTCTGGCTTATCCATGTGCTACCCATCATCAAGGGTCATAAGCTGGAAGGCTTTATTAATGGAACCAAGTGCTGTCCTCCTCAGTTTATTACAGAAGGAACAACGACAAAAGTGAATACAGCATTTGAGGATTGGGTTGCTACGGATCAACTATTGTTTGGATGGCTCCTCAACACAATGATGTTGGAGGTTTCTGCAGAAATGACTTCTGTTTCTACTTCAGCTGGCTTGTGGCTTGCTGCAAAATAGATTGCAGGTGCTCAAACTAAGTCCAGACTTCTTCTTCTTCGGTTTGAACTTCAGAGAACTCATAAAGGCTCCATGAAGATGCATGAATATCTTTCCAAAATGAAAAATCTAGCTGAACAACTATCTCTAGCTGGGAGTCCTATGCCTTTACCAGATTTAATTGTTCAAGCCTTGGCCGGATTGGATGGAGACTACAATCCTATTGTTGTGCAACTCTCCAATCGAGCTGATGAATTAAGTTGGATAGAAATGCAGACTCAGCTCTTTACTTATGAGAGCCGTCTTAAGCAACTCATGCAACTTTCTGAGATTCCCTCTCAGTTTGCTAACTATGTTCGACTGGATGAGAGCTTTCCACCCAGATCTGAAGGTACATCTTCAAGAAATAATTGGCGTGGTGGTTGAGGAAACAAAGGAAGAAGAGGATGTGGTAGGAATGGTCGTGGCTATGGCAGATTCAGTAACTCAAATAATGATGGTCCTCTTAAGTGTCAACTGTGTCAAAGAATAGGTCATACGGCTGAAAATTGTTTCTATCGGTATAATAGATCTTTTGTTCCATCTGGTAGCAGGAAGATGAACAGAAACTCCTATACTGATTTGGACAGTGCTTATTGGGCTACTCCATAAGTGGTAAATGATGATGCTTAGTACCTAGATAGTGGAGCAACTAGCCATGTCACCAATGATATCAGTAAGATTGAGAATCCTTCAGAGCCTAGTGGTAAGATGAACATAGCTGTTGGAGATGATTTTAAGTTAAGAGTCGAAAAAGTTGGTTCTTCAACTATTCAAAATGTTACTAATCAGAAAGTTAAGTTGAATAGAGTTTATATACTCCTGCTATTAAAAAGAACTTGCTTAGTGTGTATCAAATGGCTCGTGATAATCAAGCTGATGTTATCTTTAACACTAGTGGTGTTTCTGTGATGGCTCAGGGAACAGGTCAGACTATGCTGCAGGGAAAACCAAATAATGGAGGCATGTTTCAAATTCTGGACAAGAGAAAGTATGAAACAAGTGGCAATGGAGAAGACTTAGTTTTAGTTGCTCAAAGAAGCTGTTAATTCAGCATCTAACTTCAAAGTTTTTAATAGAACTTTTTGGCATTGTAGGCTTGGTCATCCTAGCGACAAAGTTCTAAATAGAATTATCACCGAATGTAATTTGAAAGTCTCCTCTAGTAATGAAAATGAACCAAGTTTCTGTGAATCATGCAAATTTGGTAAAATGCATTCTTTGCCATTTAAAGTATCTACTTCACATGCCTCTAAACCACTTGAACTGATACATACTGACCTTTGGGGTCCCTCACCACTTGTGTCTATGAATGGGTTCAGATACTATATACTGTTTGTTGATGATTATAGTAGATATTCTTGGGTTTTTCCTTTGAAAGCAAAACATGAGGCACTAAGCATGTTCATTCAGTTTAAAACATTTGCTGAAAAACAGTTTGAAAGCCAAATTAAAATTGTTCAAAGTGATTAGGGAGGTGAATACCGAAAGTTTGCTAAAGTTCTACAAGATTTTGGCATTCATTTCAGACATTCATGTCCTCACACATCTCCACAAAATGGAAGGGCTGAAAGGAAACATAGACACATAGTGGAAACTAGTTTGACACTTCTGGCTCAGGCTAAAATGCCTCTATTTTATTGGTGGGAAGCTTTTCACACTGCTACAGAGTTGATTAATAGATTGCCCTCAGTGGTACTGGGTGGAATTTCTCCTTTTTTTTAGGCTCACAGGGAAACTACCTGACTATGAGAACCTAAAATTTGTTGGCACTGCTTGTTATCCCTGTCTTAGACCCTATAATCAGCACAAGATGCAATTCAGGACCACTAATTGTGTTTTTATTGGATACAGCAACAATCATAAAGGGTACAAGTGTCTTAGTTCCACAGGTAAAGTTTATGTCTCTCGCCATGTAGTGTTTAATGAAAGTGATTTTCCTTTCTCAACAGGGTTCTTGAACAGAAGCAAGTTACCTGATGAAGAGGTGCATCCAAAGGCATTTTTCCAATCTGCTCTTTCTTCTCTGCCTAGTGTCTGTCCATTCACTCCCATTGATCAAGATAATCAACTAAATGATTCTTGTCCTCCTGCAGAAGAGTCAGAAGAAGCATCTCAATCACCTCTTGTACAGATTCCTATAGAAACACAGAATGAACTGACTAAACTGAATAATACTGATCTGTCCTCAGATTCAAGAAGTGGGAATCTACAACCTACTTTATTTTCTACACAAAGTCGAGAGCAGAGGAACACACAGACTTTAACAATGCAATCTGAAAATGAATCTCAAGCCAGACACCAAATGGTTACTTGAAGTAAAGCAGGGGTGTATAAGCCTAAATTAACATATGTAGGAGCTGTGACAACCGAGGAAGTTATTCTTAGAGAACCATCAAGTGTTCATGACGCCTTGAATTCAACCGAATGGAAACAAGCAATGATGAATGAATATAAAGCTCTTATGATGAATCACACTTGGGAATTAGTTCCTTATAATGGCCAGAAACAACTTATAGACTGCAATTGGGTCTTTAAAGCCAAATCTCTAGCTGATGGGTCTGGTTATAAGCCTAAACCCCGACTAGTTGCTAAAGGATTTCAACAAAGACCAGGAGAGGATTTCGATGAAACTTTCAGCCCTGTGTTAAAACCGTCTACACTAAGGTTTGTACTGTCTCTTGCTGTAACGTTTGGTTGGAAAATTAGGCAGTTAGATGTTAATAATGTCTTTTTAAATGGAGACTTACATGAACTTGTTTTGATGAAACAACCTGAAGGGTTTATCTCTCACAAATTTCCTCATCATGTTTGCTTGTTGAAGAAAGCTCTCTATGGACTAAAACAAGCTCCCAGAGCTTGGTTTGATAAACTGAGGTCTACATTGCTAAACTGGGGTTTCACTCATTCAAAGTGTGACACATCCTTATTCTTCATGAAACAGAAGGATTCTATTCTGTTTGTTCTTATCTATGTTGATGACATAGTGATAACAGGTAACTCATCAAGAATTATGGAAATGTTCATTAGGAATTTGAACTCTCTTTTTGCTCTTAAGGACTTGGGTTTACTCCATTCCTTTCTTGGAATTGAAGCATACAGAGATAACACATGGCTATATTTAAAACAGAGCAAATATATATTGTCTATCCTCAACAAGTTTGGAATGACAAATTGCTCAGCTGTTCCTACTCCTATGGTTGTTAATCGACATTACTCGAAGCTTGAAGGGTCACCACTTAAAAATCCTACTCTGTACAGACAAGCAATTGGGGCGTTGCAATACTTAATCAACACCAGACCAGATATAATTTTTGCAGTAAATAAATTAAGTTAGTTCCTATCTTCACCAACCAATGTACACTGGCAAGCACTCAAGCGAATTCTTCGCTACTTAAAGGGGATGACTGATCTTGCCTTACTTATCAGACTGAGCACTCACCTGAATTTACAAGGCTTCTCAGATGCAGATTAGGCGGTTTGTCCAGATGATCGACGATCAATCGGAGGGTATTGTGTCTTTCTAGGTGACTCCTTGATTTCTTGGTCTGCAAAGAAGCAGCCCGTGGTGGCGAGATCATCAGCTGAGTCTGAATACAGGGCTCTTGCTAATCTATCAGCTGAACTTGCTTGGCTCCAATCTCTAATTGGTGAGCTCAGGGTTTATCTCAAACAACCTCCGATTGCTTGGTGCGATAATTTAAGTGCAGCAGCCCTTGCAACAAACCCCGTTTTTCATGCTAGATCGAAACATATAGAGCTTGATATTCATTACATCAGAGACAGAGTTCTAGATCGGAAACTTCTGGTCCGATATATCCCTTCCTCTGAACAAGTCGCCGATCTATTCACTAAGGCCCTATCACATTCGAAGTTCTGGAGCTTCAGAGACAAACTGGGCCTAGTTAGATCACCAAGGTCCAGTTTGACGGGGAATGTTAAGAGTATTACAAGATCAGTGCACAAGTCTGAAGCCCAACAGTGTACAAGTCTGAAGCCCAATAGACGAAGCAAGCCCCATAGCTAAAGTCCAGTGTCTGTTTTTACTTTTACAGCTGTTAGTGTTCTAGTATATTCCTTATTCTTTGTACAAGTGACCACGTGTATACA